AGGGTCTGAGTCTTTCGGTAGCTCGTGGGTCAGAACCCTGTGGAGAAGGTTTTGGGCTTTCAGCTTCAACATTTCAGGAAACCCGAAACCCATTTCAGACTTCAATAAGTTCTAATCTAACACGTTTTCAGCAGATCCCAAGTTTGGGGTCAGGGGAAGCTAGCCACGAGACAGGAGTTGTCACCCCCAGCAGCAAGACCATGGCCACCACACGGTTCAGAGTCTAAGCTTCAGCTATTTTTGTCATTTTTGCTATTACTATGATTGTTTTTACAGAGTGAGCTGATGCTAGATCAACCTCAGGCGCTTTTTGGGTGTGGTTGCTGTGGATGAAGCAGATGCACTTGCACTTGCCTCAAAGGACGCACCTGGTTGAACACTACACCGAACCATCATACCTGAACACCCTTGCTCTGGGTACTCTTTCCTTAGAATCCAGAGAGTCTGGGCCTTCCTTTGAACGCCCATGCCAATAGTTGTTGCCTGAGAAACAGTTAGCCCGGGCCGAGAGAAAGTCAGAGAATACCCAATGCATGCTGAATGCTGAACTCTCGAAACTCTCATGAGTGATGCTGGGGTATGGAAAAAGGGAACTGCCAAATTACTTCAAAACCCAAAACCGATAAGGATTGCCAAGGGAATTGTCTTTTCACTATACAATGGAGAATCAGATGGAGCATGAAATGGAAACTGGGATGTTAAGATCTTCAACCCTCAGTCCTGAACTTGCTGCACTCTAAACTCTAAACCTCAAACCCAAGCCATGGATCCCTGTCCCCTGCAACAGGCGGCTGACGCAGACGGGGATGGCATGATCGACTACAAGGAGCCTGCTTCGGTGAACTTCATATTTGGGGTCTTAGGGTTTAGGGTTTGAACATCGTATCATCTACTGTCAGTATTTGGCTTACATTGGGATGAGTAAACATCAGGGGTATCGGTGTAGTGGAGAAGAAATGTAAACTATTTTGTTACCATATGATCGAGAAGCAAATGCAAAAGAGCATGCAAAATTACATGGACACTTGGATTACGTAGTTGCTCATGGGGATTAGATGAGCTACCGTAAATACGATGGTGACTAAAGGACTCTTTGATAGTTGAGTACAGTCCCTTGTATATTTTTGACTGGGCGCCCATGCCCATTAATTATATGGGAAATACTGATTGTAGCTCACACCAGAGGTTCCTGTGCTCTTTGAAGGCTCAGACTGGGCGATTGCATGGAGTTCAAATGAGATTGGACTTGAGACTTGATCTCGGAACTTGTTGGTGCATTCCTCACATAAGGTTGGAAGGTGCAACAAACACCTTGAGACGTGGAATTCGCACTTCAAGTGCACACACTAACATGGAACCCTATAGAGCTGCACTTTAATAAGTCCAGTTAGTTTATTCTACTTCTTTTCGCATTCCATTTACGTTGGGGGAGTACATATCCAAGCGGGCACCTGGCTATTCAACCTTGCAATCTTGATATCAATATTTTCACGTTTACCCTGTGTCTTTTTTTGACCCTGCCCTGCAGAATGTCATCCCTGCCCTTTCTTCAGGATCCAGCAATCTGTAATTCTGATTTTAGTTTGACCCTGGCCCATGTCCTTCAGGTGGAAACGTTGGTTCTTAATCTTGGAAATCTGCTTGTCAGTCTTGTTGCTTTTGTCTCTATGTGTGCCTTGCCTGTCTTGGTTTCCATTTTAAAAACCTCTTGCTTCTCACCTTGGTGTCTTGTATCACCAGGCAGGCCTCATTTTTGACCCTGGGAACACTCCTCTTCAACCTTGCGCACCTCTCATTTCTCACACGGGTGTGTTTTCCTCCTGGATAAAACGTCTGGGTTTTGACTTTGGATAACTTCTCTTTAAGCTTGTGTATTTCTTGTTCGCCTTGGCATCTTCTTGTCCAGGCCTAAAAGTCTCTTGTTTTTAACCTTGCGAATCCTTTTTTAACCTGCTCATCTTGTGTTTGACCTTGGACATTTTCTTTTGGCTGGGGAGAGCTTTTGTTTCTTCCCCCCACCCCTATCACCCGCCTCCCCTCCCCTCCTCCATCTCTCCTCGCTCCCTCTCCCCATGCGCTCGCCCCATCTTTCGCTTCCAATTCCTCCCTTCCTTTTGGTGTCCCCTATTCTCAGTTGCTGGCCCTCACCTCTCAACTTACTCCAGAGTCCGTCCGCCGCTTGGCTTTCGGTTAAGTGCAGTCTGTCTCGTCATTCAACATTTAAATCGTCTAGTCTGCTCGGTGTTGGCTGCGCAGAGAAATTGCACTGCAAATACATTCCCATGCCATGCAAGACGTTTTCAAACAGAGCTGGTGCGAGAAGTATGAATGGCACAAGAAGCGGGAGTTCCTAACTTGACCGTGCGACGTGGCCTCTGCTTTATGTAGGCAATCACTCTGGAGCCCCCAACAGATCGCCAGCTTTCGATTTCTGGACCGGCTGCAGACACTATTGCATGATTCATTGTCACTTTGGAGATAATTAGCGCGCGCAAGTGCCAGACAGCGAAACTGTTTGGGTCATGCGTGCCCAACAAGCAGATGAGGCGATTCCCACCGAAGCAGCACTTGATCAACCTTTGCCGCATCCTTCGTGCAGCTGCTTGCCAGTGAAGTCCGTGTCTTTGAAAGAAGCATTGCAAACTTGCGACATGGTGACTAAAGAAGATGGTCGACTCATGCTTAGCAAGACAAGTTGGCGTCTTGCCTTGAGAAGCAAGTCACCTGCCAAATTTGACGTGGCTACGCCAGTGCCACGAGCTGGAGATGCCAGTCAACGGGCACATTTCACCCTTCCTAGTGCAGGCAGAGTGCGGGCACGTTGTCTTCGCGAGGGGCTTGACGTGCGACCCAATTGTCACAAAGTTCAAACAGATCCCAGTGCAGGACAAGGTTCTGTCTGTCAAGAAGATGCATCCAAGCTTGGAGGCAAGTCTCACTCAAAACGAAAGTGGAAAGTTCATTCGACCGGCAGACTTGACTGTGCGCCAGCACGGCAAACGCCTCATGAAAAGCTGTGCATGCCATTGTTGCAAGTTTGCCGACAGAATTTGACGACATCGTTAACCAAGATTGCTACATGTTGCTGCCTGAGCCGTCGGCCAAGTAATTGTCGAAGTAGCTGAATATGAGGCGCAAGCCAGCCTATCAGAGCACTCAAGCAAGGGAGTGCGTGCGTGCAAGGATCTCCCTACAATTCTCAAATTGGGTTTTGTGGCCTATCTTTGGGTACCAACAATCAGGATTCTGGTATTTTCGTGTATATTGGGGAACTTTAAACAAGGAAGCTCCCATATACGCCTTGGGAATATCACGTTGATGGAGCCCATTACCCTTCAATTAGGGTATGTACCTCAAACCAGTATGATTTGGGATCTTCCGTTTCCTTGAGGGGAATCGGCCCCTCGGACCTTCCATTGAAGCCCCAAGCCCTAAACCCTAAACCCTAAACCCTGAACCCTAAACCCTAAACCCTATCAGGAGTTTGTCGTGAACCATTTCTTCGGTCCAGCAAGTGGAGCGCCTCGGTGGACACTGACTTTACAGGTGCTAAAGGAAGGAATGTGGGGCACTTGTAATTCAATTCCCCGAGTTTCCTTTAAACATTGGTAAGCTGATTCTGGGTAATCCGGACGTAAAATTGAGATCCTTTCCTTCAAAAATACTTTTACCAAGTCAGCCCCATGATTCCAAAACACGATTCAAGAAGGCATTGGGATGGTAGGAGGAGTGTGGGGTGGATTTGACTGGTTGAAGTTGGGGTTGGGGGTTGGGGCTTTCTTTTTTCGACGCATTGGCTGAAGAGCAAAAACATTTGGGCTTGGGTTCACCCAGGGACAGACATCTACGCAGAACTTGAAGCTTTTGTTCGTGGACAACCATCGTGGTCCCTCCCATCTCAACGCTAATCCCTAAATATTAACCCTGAGCTCTAAATAGGTTTTGTTGCCGTAGCCTGTCGACCCTGCTCTCAGACTTCTCAGCCCCATAACCTACAGCCTGAAGTCGTGGAGGGGTTGGGGATGCTTTTGAGTCCTTCCCCCCTTCATGGGGTTGCTGCTTGCTGTAATGCTGGTTAGCGACCAGAAGTAAATATGGTCGTTGCTAGGGCTTGAGGGCAAGTCGTGGGATCAGGGTTTAGTTTAGGGAATTGGCATGTGCCTCGCCTGTAACCTTACCTTTTATAGGATTATTGCATTCGACAACTGTAAGCTCTTGTGTGTATTTGTTTGAGGCGCCAAGAAATCCCTCCAACTCTCTTTGACTTCATGCTCCAACGCAAGGTTTCTTTCCGAGCTTTCCCATAAATGCGAGGTTTTGTTGAGTGCGCCGGGTCCTTGCGGATCGGGACATTCACGTTAAGGGATCGTTTTTTATGCCCCGGCGTGAGTAAACTAGGCTTAAAGTAGATGCTTGCAAACATCGTCCACGACAGAAAAGGAGAACCCTAGTTTCGCCAAATGTCCATGTCCTCTCATATGACCCTAGTGTGGAGGCAGTGCGGAGTCCCCTAGAGTTCTAGAAGAGGACCGTAGTCTTCAGGAACTACTCCAGAAACCTACAAAGACTATTGCCGTTTCCATTAGGGTCTCACGGTGTCCGTCCCCTGTATGTGCCCCAAAGCACTAGAATCCTCAGTCTACGGAATCCCAGAAGGGGACCCCTAATTGGACATCCCCATGTACGAATAAGCCCTAAACCCTAAACCCTGATATCTAAACCCTTTACTTCGCTCTATATGGTAGTTTCCACAAATCCTATTATAGGTACACCCAACAAGGTACCCTTACTTCTAGGCAACCCCCCGATACTCAAACTAACATGAGCTATACTCTAAACTTCCAGGATCCCCATTAATAACCCCTATAATGCTCCCTTACATGGTTCCCTATAAACCTCCCAAACCCTTGACCCTAAACCTTAAATCCTAAACCCTAAACCCTAAACTCTAAATCCCTTTAAGGATATAGGGAGTTCCTTGCTGCTTTGGCAGAGCATAGGTGGTCACGGGCGCATGGGCCTCGCTACCATCCTGGGGCAGCTCGGCTCAAAACCAGGGTTCACACATATAGGGGTTGCATAGGGGTTATACAGGGTTTAGGGTTTCCCAAGATTAGGGGTACCTGTTTTGGGATCTATCTAGAAAGGATTCTAGTATTTTGGGGTCTATATTGGGCTGGGAAACAAACACCTATTCGTTCGAGTGGCTGCGACTAGGATTGTCCCATTTTCTGTTCAGTTACAACTAACATGAGCCATTAGCGGAGTTATAATTTGGAGTTTCTTAACGTGAAAAATGCACTGTTTGGGCGAGCTCAAGCTTTCAATGACATCCTCCCTAGCTAACATGGAACTCAAATGGGCCCTCTAAGGCTCCATGTTTTTTTTCGGGGAGTGTATCCGGTTTAGCTTTTAGAATTGTGGATTCAGGATTTACGGTTTCGTGACTGGCTTCTGCTCCCAGCCAGAAACCAAGTTAGCAGAAGCCTGAGTTCGTCTAACTCGCTTTGGTATGCCTTAAGATGACCCGGATGATGCGGTCTTGATTGGGGGCCCCGAAGGGGCATCTAGATCTCAAGGGCCTCAGACATTGCTATGTTTCTTCATGCACGTAAGAGGATTCAGATCCATTGCGGGCTAAGCTGAAGATACTTACCATTTAGCTTTAGTAAGCTCTAGGGTACAAAAAATGGCAGTACTGACCAGTACCATGAGAGTAAGAAGGATGAGCCGTATTGTAACCCCAATATAACCCCAATATAACCCTAATATAACCCTAATATGACCCTAATACAGCCCCAATATAACCCCAATATAACCCCAATATGATCAGAGATGCCGGGGACTGCCGTGGCAGGTGCCCCCTTTTGCAGTTTCAGGGGGCGTGCCGGGGAGCAGCGCGAAACACAGCCAAGATACAGCAAGCTATAGAGTTTTATCTATCAACTTCACACCTAGGCCTCGCAGATTGCGCCCATTGACCGGCTGATTTTTTCACGCAAAGCAGCATGCATGTTTCTTGAATTCTTGGCTGTCCTTCTGCAATCCCATTCTGATCTTGTGCTGATAGATCTGGGCTGGGTTGAAGCAGCCATTGTGCTCGGTTACGTTAGCAGACACTAGACGATTGCTAGCAGGGAATGGGGCAGTGGATCAGTGTAGCATGTGTAGCATCCCAGGCTGCAATTCCTAAGCCTCCATCCCGAAATCTGATAGAAGCCCCAGTCCTGAAATCCTAATTCCCCAATCCCCAAACTTGAAACCCTGCTTGGAGGGTCAGGGGACTTAGTGAGTAGGTTAATAATGGGGATATTTAGGGTCACTATTTGGAATATAGGGGTTGTTAACCTACTTCCTAAGTCCCCCTGACCCTCCAAGTGAACCCCTATTCTCTTGCGTACCCAACTCAAGGCTCAGTGTCCGGTGGCATTTCGAATGCTTACGCTGCCGCCACCGAGTCAGTGAACGCAGCGGTGGCACACTGCAAGGAGTTCAGGGGTTCTTGGGATCAGGGATTTGGGGTCGAGGAAATTTTGGCGTAGAGTTAGGGCTGGAGGGTTTAGTATATGCGACCATGCAGAGGACACCCCTTCTATCATGGCAGGCATACTCTGGCTTTAGATAGGAATGACTAAGGACTGTTCGCGTAGAGAGGATGACCAAAATTCCTTCCGTAGACCTATAATCCCCTATATACACCCCACGTTCCCTGTATAACCCCTAGAATGCGTGTAGTTTCCATTTTCTTTTCCATTATCCCTATAACATGGTACAGCTAAAATGCTTCTTCACTCAATGGTGCTGAAGTTGGAGAGAAGGACTGGATTAGACTTTGGGGCTTAGGGTTTGGGGCTTAGGGTTTAGGGCTTAGGGTTTGGGGCTTAGGGTTTGGGGCTTGAGGTTTAGGGACCATCCCTGTACGGCCTTCCAGAAATTAGGGGCTCGCTTTTAGTAAGGGCATTCTTATGTTGAAGTATAGAAGCAGGTCTGGACATGGATGTAAGCTCCATTTCTTCCACGGTCCCCGTGCCTGGACTCCCGTTCCCCTCCCTCCCTCTGAAGCCCCCCAACCCTGAACCATCCAGTATATGGAGAGTTGCAGAGCTATGACCAGAGGCCATGAAATTTTTGAACTTGTGCCGGGGCTTGTGGGGGGCTTCTTTGAAACTATGCAGGATTATCTTAGGACTTTGGCATACCCACATTCCCAAAGTACGCCCAAAACAATGGATTTCTATGGCAGGGTTGGTTAAGGTTGGGGATTTGGGGTTTAGGGTTAAGTAGTGCCTTCTGATTAACTGGTCCCTGTTGGAGGGGTAAGAGATGGCTCTAGGGAGTTTCGTTTCGGCGTGTGTCCGTGAGGTCCCTTAGGAGTAGTGTTGAGGGGGATATCAACAGAAAGGCCGAGCCCTAAACCCTAAACCCTAAACCCTAAACCCTAAACCCTAAACCCTAAACCCTTAAACCCAGATTGAATCACTCGAAGCATCACCTTTTGGGCTTTGGTTGCGAAACTTCTACTTGGGGATTGTCCTAAATTACTGTCAATACGGGGTCCTATATTTAGGTTCCTATTATAATACGGGGCCCCATATANNNNAGTAATTTAGGGAAACTTCCACTTAAATTAGTAGTCGGTGCCATGGACGTCTAGTATCGCCTCTGGATGTGATGAGAATGACCCAACATAGTGTATTTGCATATGCTACGGTATAAGTGAGGGGATTGCAAGTGGTTGGGAAGGTCCATCCTAAGGACTCTATAGGCGTCTTCTGGACAACCCCCAAACTCAGGTGGCCAATGCTCCAAACACAGAGCAGCTGGTGGACAGCGTGAAGATTCTGCGCTTGGAGTTGGCAAAGCGTTCCAGCGTGCGTCTGAATTTGTAAAACACTTGATAGAATGCCTTCAGTGCCGCTTGCAATATGCATTGACATGTTTGGGCCCCAGTCGCAGGTGCGAGACAGGACGGGGTTTCCTACTGTATTATGGGAGGTCCCCAAAATTTTCCATGGAATCCCCAGGAGGGATTCCTCAAGACCTTGAATGCCGTATGCCCCCCTTATACACCCTTGTTCCCAGGATGCATAAGAGCATTGGGAATTTTGATTTTGGTTCTGCATGCGCATGCGCCAAACTGATACGCCCTCGGCCTTAGACCCTGAGCTCTACAGGCTCAACCTTAAACCCCAAACCCCAAATCCTACTTCTGCTAGAGCCTTGCTGGGCCCAGGAATGCAGCCAGTGGAGCAGCCGAGAAGGCGCAAGACATGGCTTGATTCTCAGATTCGGGGGGTTGCTCAAAATTCGGGGTTTCTAAAAAAATGTATTTTTCTGGGCATAATAATAGGGTTTCCAATCTAGGGTTTACCTTTGAGGGTCTCGGGTCTAGGATTTCTCAAAGGAGAGGGCCCATGAGCGATGCATTTATGTAGAGTTAACTCTGTGCAGCTCAGATGGTGTTTTTAGGATTCTGATGTACCCAAGTAGAGTAGAGGGCATGTGGGACGTTAATGCCGCATTGGAACTAGCGCTATTATGAGCGTATACCAGAATCCACTGACTTCTGAGGCTTTCAGATGGATAGGTTGCAGCTGCTACTTGGGGCCTTTGGTGTTAGGACTTGTTGACTTGAGCAGCTTGCTCGGGCCACGGAAAGCTTTTAGGTGAAGTGCTCCTCCGAGTAATGAGCCTCCCCACCCCCCGATTACTTGAAACAAGCCTAGGTGGGGTGGTTCTGTCTTCTTTGAGATGAGGATATTTTGCGCAACTCCTGGGACATGCTGGATGTGTATGGCTTGACATTCTTATGCCTCCCAGCAACAAAGGAGTAGTTGCAATCTTACATGGAAAAGGGAACAAGAAGGCTCCTGCGGGGAGAGATGTTTTTTTTAGATTAGACCACGCTACATCAATACGAGCTCTGCATGTCAAAAATACTGAGGTTCGGCGGACTGCTGTTGCAATGGCCCTGGTGCCCCCCCAAACATCTCTTCAGCTGAGGTGGCACAGATGCCGGACGCGGGGAAGGTGGTCGAAGAGATGCAGACCGCAGCCTCTGGAGCTGCCACGATGGCAACAGAAGCTGCTTCTGCCGCCCAGGCTGCCGTGTCAGGGGATGGCACGCCAGCGCCTGAGGGTGGTGCAGAGGCTACGGCTGCCGAGGGGGTGACAGCCGCTGAGAAGCCAGCTTCCGAGGAACCGCCGGCAGAGCAGCCGGCCGCCGAGCAGCAGCCAGCACAAGAAGCGCCCGCAGAACAGCCGCCTGCGGAGGAGCCAGTTGCGGAACAGCCTGCAGAACAGCCAGCAGCAGAGGTGCCAGCCGCTGAAGAGAAAAAGGAGGAGCCTGCCATAGCTGAGGCTGTCCAGCCAGCTGCGGAGGAGAAGAAAGAGGAGGCAGCCCCTGCAGAAACGAACCCAGCACCGGAGACCGCTGAAGCAGCAGAGGAGAAGAAGGAAGACGCCGCTGCAGAGGTCCCGCCAGCAGAACCGGCAGAGGCTGTTGAGGAGAAGAAGGAGGATGCAGCTCCTGCAGCAGAGCCTCCTGCAGCAGAGCCTCCTGCAGCAGAGCCTCCTGCAGCAGAGCCTCCTGCAGCAGAGGCCCCTGTGGAGGCTCCTGTCGAGACTCCCATAGAGTCTGCTGAGGAGAAGAAGCAGGAGGAGTCAGCAACCCCTGTTCCTGAGCCAGCGGCAGAGGAGAAGAAGGAAGAGGCAGCTGCTTAGAGTGCTGGGGCCTGTGATGATGATTGTGGGACATAGTGGGTGTGGATCACGAAGGGCGCCCGACCACGCTTGTAATTCTATAGGCTTAAAGCTCAGCATGGGGGGAGAGGGTGGGCTAGGTATAGAGCTCAGGGGCCCAGGGCTTTGGATTTGTGGTTTACACCCAAATGCCTCACGTCGTCATGTTCGTTAGTGCTCATGGTTCGCCAAAAGCGGTCACGAGGACTGTGCAAACACAGCCTCCTGACCAAGGGCTTTCTGCGACTAGTGAAATGCGAGCGGACGGTTTCCGATGCTGTTTCTTGACTTATGCCTTGGCTTCATCTTCGACATAGACTGGGATAGGAGCCCTTCCTGCATGAAGGTGGCCTTTCTCTAGATAGGCTCCGATGTGACTCTTGTATACCTAGGGCCTTGGCACGAAGGCTTAAATTCTGTTGCTGCATCAAGCCTGCAAACTAACCAAACATCTTCACCCTGAACTCTGAACCTGCAACCTAAACCTAAGCCCTAAACCCCTAAACCCATAAACCCCTAACCCCCTGAATCCCTCAACCCCTAAATCCACAACCCCCAAACCCTAAGCCCTCATAGCAAGCCCTCTGCGAGTAAATGCATCCATGGGCTCAGCACGTCAAAGATGATGCTGGCTGCAGCCGCATGCTCTCAGCTCGCTCACAGAGTCATCGTTTAGGGTTCAGGTTTAGGGTTTAGGGTTTAGGGTTTAGGAGGTTAGGGTTTAGGGTTTAGGGTTCTGGGATGTGGGGCCTGAGGGTTCATGGTTGAAGGGTTTAGGGTTTGGGGGGGTCAAGGCTCAGTGTTTGAAATGAGGATTTAGGCCTCAATTCTCTCATCAAAGATCCTGAAGCGTGTGAGGGTCCTTCTAAATATTGGCTGCCATACTTAGGACTTAGGAGGATGTTTTTGATATAGGCGGCATCCCACGAAAGGAGCAACTCTCGATGCCTCCTGTCGCATGATTCCTAGGATCCATCGAGAGTCTTGAATGCAACTTCCAGCTCCGAATTCTCGCGGCTCTCATATCATTCTTAGACATGCCTTGAAACGGCACAAAGCAAAATGCAAAAGACACCTAATTACACCCTACAGCCCAAAACCCCCAAACCCTAAACCGCAAGAACAGAGATGCTGAGAAGCGGGCCGCAGCTGCAGAGCCCGAGACGTCAGATCTCCGGCCTGCAGGTATCCGGAGGAACAGGGTGCGGGTTAGGTTTAGGGTTTGAGGGTTTTGAGTTTTGGGGTAACCCTAAACCCTATAAACCCTAAACCCTGAGCCCGGGTTTGGGGTTAAGGGATTAGGGTTCAGCATCTCAAGCTCCACCATATCCAATGTATTTTGGTATCACCCCGATCCCCAGAATGCCTTTTCATCAGCTTTTATACCAATTTGTTCTTCCTTTGCTTGGCAACTGCCGGTGTCCCCGAAACCCCACATCCATACTTGTTTGTGATATTGAACGCCTGCTCTCGGGACCCCGAAGATGGAGGGGACAAATTGTATGATCTACATGAATTTTTCTTTAAAACAAACGCCATTTCCTGCGTTTTTGAATTGAGAGCGAATCCAAATTCTGTAGTGGTTTCTTTTGCAATGGGCCTGCCACAGGCGAGCCTCCAGGGGACCTCCAGGGCTTTCAGCCTCCAGGGGCCTTCAGGGGGTCTTGGCCTCAGGCCTCCAAGAACCTTCTCAGGCTTCCAAAAACCTTCAGAACACACAACTCTCAGGGGCTTCAGGCCTCAGGAACCTCGAGGACCCTACAATCCTAAAGGCCAAATCCAAAGATCTAAATCCAAAACCCCTGAATCCTAAACCTTAAAATCACGTTAAACTTTACATATAGACAGGTAGAGAGGGTTTAGGGTTAAGCTCTATGATCCAGATCCTAGTCTTTGAAGGGTAGGATGCCAGCTGGAGGCACCGCCCTAGAGACGTGCAGGAACTTACAGAGACAGAATGGCAAAGATCCCGCCAAGTTACAATGCCTGTATAAGTCCAGGAACGTTACAGTACGCCTATGTGGGCAAGGTGCATATAGGGACAAAGGAAAGTGGTCTCCTGGTGCGGAGCACCTAAGTTGTGCAGGTAGATCCCCAATCGCAAGTAGATCCCCAAGGGCCCCCCAAAAAAACGGCCCAAGAACCCCTGAGTTCCCTGATATACCCCAGTCCTTTTTTCTTGGGAATCTCACCCTATTCTATTCAAGAAAGACCCCTTGATCAATTCTTGATCGCATCTCTTGCGTAGAAGCTAGGGGCGGTTGTACACGAAGCCAAAGCTTGTGCATGACGGTTCCTGGGTCCCGGGACCCTTTGTAATTTCCCTTTGCCCCTATAAAGCCCTGTAGAATCAAGAAGCCTAACTCCGAATATTTCCAAATGTATATGCACATAGACAAATGCAAATGCGTCTCTCTGAAGTTTCGGTGTGCCTGCGTGGGCTCCAAGAGTAAGAGTTGGAACATTTTGAGATATACAAGGAAGAGCTAAAGCTTGGCCTGCTACACGTAGACGTGGCCTGATAGCCGTTTGAGCTATAGTCTAAACTCCTGAAAAGGGGGTGATAGAGGGCGTAATATAGAGGAGTAGTATAGGGCTTATCAGGGGGAATACTCGGAGTTTAAAGTATAGCTCATGTTAATGATCCCCGAGCTGTCTCCGGACGCCTGCGCGCCAGACGTCTCTTAGCCTTGCTCTGTCGGGAGAATCCCGCAGGTCTAGTTAACAGCCGCAAGGCCCTTTGAAGCCTGGATTCAGAGTTGAGAGGTTCAAGGGTGAAGATCTGCTACCTGGTGCTTACTAGGGGATGAGGGATTGGATCTCTATGAGCACCCCTATGAATTCCCTTTCAGGGGATCTTAGGTAGGTTTGATGAACACACGTATTGCTTACCCCGTGCAAGTCCAGAATACATGAGGTTTGCAGAGGCACGTGCTGGAAGCATGTCCATGAGCATTTTCACATACATGTGGACAACATTTCATGGATGCCTGGGTAGCGGCTTTGCCATGCGCTGCCGGGTCAATCGTACAGTCAGAGAAGACATTGTGCAAGACTACTTTAGTCATGTGCTTCGTAGTTGTACATATTCGTACAGTCCACGAAGCTTGCGAACTCTTCAGAAACCCAGCCCAAGCGCCCCCGATGAGTGTAGCAGGGTTGTCTTGGCATTTTGGAACCTCAGGGACTGCGGTTTTCAGGGAAGAACAGATTCTGGGCTTCAAGGGGTCAGTAAAACAGGGTTTCTATCGCCAGAGCCCTCAAACACAGACGAGCCATCGATTCCCAAAATCTGCGTCGGAGGCAGTTTTCAGGGTTTCGGGACCATGAGCTCTAGGGTTTGGTGTTCAGGATTTCTGTTGTACGTTGTGGGACATGGCGGCTTGTTTTCACATGTAGAGATGTGTTTGATGGAGGTTTTTGGTGTCCGATGGCATAACCGGACTGAGAAGTTCTTAGGATAGCAGGCAGCAAGGCTAGAACACGGTGTATGATGTGGTTTAGGGTTTAGGGTTGGGGATGTGGTAGGGTTCAAGGTCCTGACTCTTTACGACTCTGTGATTGGTAGGTCTTGCAACGAGCAGCTTTGTCCGTTCATCGCTGGCTTTTGGTTAGCTAGGAATGAAGGAAGGGATCCCTATAGTAGCCCCCTATATAACCCATTATTAATAGTAGTTTCCATTTTCTTTTTCATTCCTTCATTGCCAGCTAACTAAAGGCCAGATCATAGGGAGAATCTGTGCCGACTGTGTTCTGGGGCCTGGAGGTTTCAGAGTTTTTGGTTGGTGAAACAGGGGTGTTTCGGCACTAGCTGAAGGTGTAGAATCCTCGGAACCCTCAGGCCCTCGAAGTCAAATTGTCATCAAACTCCAGCGATATGATCCTCTCAGCCCTGGTCCAGAGAGCCAAGGACTCAAACTCCTATGCCACATGTGTCAGACAACTGAGGCGTGGCTATGCTGAAGGGCGAAGAGTTCGAAAAGGACACTGGGAAGAAGCTTATGAATGGACCAGGGTTTACTCGAGGAATTTTGGGCTTCATCCGGAGGAACATCCTACTTGTAGCTTACTGCGATGCAGCCTTCAAGAAGGAAATCCTGCCGCAATCTTGCTAGAACTTACCCCGTTAATTAGACAGAAATGGAATTCCTCACTCGACAAGGACGACGTGAAGCCTAAGCCGCCCGCTGTGATAGTGGGAGGCGAGGGCTGGCGACGACAAGGACGACAAAGCCTGAGCCGCGCGCTGTGATACTGGGAGGCGATGGCTGTGATGCGAGGGCTGGCGATGACAAGGAAAACAAAGCCTGAGCCGCCCGCTGTGATAGGGGGAGGCGAGGGCTGGCGATGACAAGGGCGACAAAGCCTGAGCCGCCCACTGTGATAGTGGAAGGCGAGTGCTGGCAATGACAAGAATGACAAAGCCTGAGCCGCCCGCTATGATAGCGGGAGGCGAGGGCTGGCGACGACAAGGACGACAAAGCCTGAGCCGCCCGCTGTGATAGTGGGAGGCGAGGGCTGGCGACGACAAGGGCGACAAAGCCTGAGCCGCCCACTGTGATAGTGGGAGGCGAGGGCTGACGATGCAACCTTGATCTTCATGCCTTAGCCCAAGCACCACCGCCAAGTCGCTCAAACACTAAGCCCCAATCCTGAAACCTTGTCTGTTTTGCGTCTTCACAAGATTCCTGTCTAGTCCCAGCATGCCCCAGCGCAATCCCTATAGAACCCTTGAATAGTCGCCAACTAGCTTTCAAGTAACCTTTGAGCTCTGTTTGCATAGTCTGAAGGATTGAGTGTTGTTGGCTTGGGGTTCATGTAGTCACGGGATAGGATCTTGTAGTGTGTGTAAGGGATTTAGCGGATACAGTGATGTTTGCAGTTTAGGGTTTGGGGTTGGGGGGCTTAAGAAACTACTCAAGAGAAGGGAAGCAAATCTTTATCACATGCACACTAGCATTGAGTATTCGCTTACATAGGGG